GAAATCTGCACTTTGAGGTTCACAAAGTGCACCTACCTGAAACGAAGTCTGCACTTCGAGGTTCACCAAGTGCTGCGCCTGCCACGAAATCTGCACTTCTGCAGGTTCACCAAGCGCGGTGCCTGCCACAAAATTTGCACTTCGAGGTTCACCAAGTGCTGCGCCTGTCACGAAATCTGCACTTCGAGGTTCACAAAGTGCACCTACCTGAAACGAAATCTGCACTTCGAGGTTCACCAAGTGCTGCGCCTGCCACGAAATCTACACTTCTGCAGGTTCACCAAGTGCTGCGCCTGCCACGAAATCTGCGCTTCGAGGTTCACAAAGTGCTGCGCCTGCCACGAAATCTGCACATCGAGGGTCACAGAGTGCTGTTCCTGCCACGAAATCTGCAAGCGAGCCACATGTCCAAAAGTCACGATTGACTGCACCTGTCACGAAATCTGATCCTCGACGATCACAACCATGTCCAAAGTGCTGCGCCTGCCACGAAAACTGCAGTTCGAAGTAAAACAGGTCCGATCCCTTGTAGTTGTCACGAAAAGTCGACTTTGAGGCACCAAAACACGAGGTTTTCCACGAAAAGTGACCACCATATGCGAAAATGCGCACGGCACCACAACGAGAGCGCAGTCGTTAGAAGCACCCGCCGCAGACACCCAGATTCAGCGAGCCTGCACAGTCGAGCTGCACTTCGAGGATTTCGAGAGGCATGAATGCACTGTAAATAGCAGTGAATTAGCCGGACACGGCGCGGCACACCAATCTAAGCACGGCTGCTTTTAACTACCGTAAGAACCCCTAAGTGCGTCCACACTGTTTGGGGAATAACAAGGCTCAGCAGAAGACTCAACCAGAAAGGAGGACTCAAAAGACAAAAAGCAACAAACAATTTGACACCCAAGAAAAGCAACGAACAAACAGAAAACACATATCAAGATTGATAGTTTTTCTTTTTTGTGTTGTTTTTTGAGTCTGGATTTGTGTATTCGTTGTTTTTTCTTTGAAATCCACATTTCAAGAAACAAGAAAACAAACCCAGACTCATAGAAACAACACATAAAAAAACAATTGTTGTTTTTTTGTGTTTTTTAATTGAGTGTTTTTCTTTAGGATCTTGTTTTGTTTTTGTTTTAGATTTGTTTGGTTCCCCACCTTTCATGAGGATTGTTAGAAGAGGATCCCGTGTCTCCTCTCCTGAAGCTTTACCTGCCAGCTAAAGATCGCAGTGGGCACTCCCCGGCCTCAACTGCAAGCACATACCAGGACCAAAGCCGGTCCATATGTCAATATGTCACATCATGTCACATCACATGTCAGACAGGAAAATGTCAGAACACACGCCAACAAGGACGTCAGAGCACAGTACAGAACATGATAGACGACCTGTCAAATGCCTTTGTTCGCTAGTCTGTCAATACATGTGCCCAACCTTCTTCCAAATTGCCTCTCAGGACGGGGGCCGCTCGAAGTAAAGTAATTTTTCATGATTGTGACTTTTCTGGAAAACACGATGTCACAAAAGAAAAATGAATAATTCAGGTTGACACTGGCTGCCACTTGCCTCTTTTTTTTTCTCCAAGAGTCAAAAAATCACGACACCGACCAGAACAAGATAGTTCCGTAAGTTTGCGCACCGAACTGTCGCTTCGAGGCTGAACTGATTCTGTCATCTCAGCTTGAAGAGATCGCCGCTTTGACCTTTCTCCGCTTGCTCCGCATCGCGCGGATCCTCCGTGCCTCGGTGTCGACGGTGGGAAGACGGCACTCATGCCCGGTGGTGAGTCTTGACCGTCAGACTCCAAGTGGAGTCGTTGACAGGTGCGACCGACATGATTTGGTGCATATCATATGAGTCATATGAGGTTTTAGGTATTTTTAGGTCACTTGCTTCATAATGCGTGAACACAGTGGTAACAGGGAGTGTGTGCGTGTGTGATTCTATGCTTTGCAACCACATCATTCGTTGTTGGAATTTGGGCTGTTGGAGCACATAGCAAGCAGATCCCAAGTCAGGAGACCCCTTGGATCTAGTGCAGCTACTTCAACCATTGCAACGTCTATGGGCTGATGTGCTGCACCCTCCGGCACCGGACAAACGCAACATCCATGAAACAATATGGAAATCATATGGAAACCGCGGGGTTCATCATTGTTTGATGCTCAGACCGTCAAGGATGGCTTTCCGGGAAACTGGTTCTTTTTCGAACGTGACCCCATGTGAGCAACCGGAACCAGCCATGAAGTTTCGAAAGAGCGGCGTGGAATACAGGAATTTGCCAAGACCTGGAAAAGCAAGGACCCCCTCCTTGTTACTAGCAGCGATGCCCTTTGCTACTAGTAGCTTCTTGCTACTAGTAGTACATAATGCATGCCGTTGTTACAAGTAGCGATGCCCTTTGCAAGGCTCCCCTCCAAAGCGATTGATGAGCATGTCAATGCAGTTTTTGGATATGCCTGGCTGTGTTCCAAATGACGCCCTTGCAGTTCATGCCCACTTCGTTGCCCAGCGCTTTGGACGTTTACCTATTATAACATTAATTTATAACCGAACGGGTGGCAGTTTCCAAAGACGGACAGCTACATTTGTGAGATGCGATGTTTTGATAATCGTTTCATTGTGTTGCGGAATTTGACTTCCACCACTCACTCAGGCAGGATGGAACGAAGGAACTCCTGGCCCCTCCCCACAACACCCTTCCAGCTATTTCAAAGCAAAACGAACCAATCAAAGCAACCAACCCTAGAGCCACGCCAGTTGGAAGCAACCCTGTGGGGAATAACGGCAACAAACCCAGCAGCCAGGCTGGAAGTAGGAACAAGCATTGCGGACATTCCTGCGATTTCAAACACATCCAAACCATATAGGGTTGGAAGATAGCACTGGCATTGCTACCAGGCAGGCGCTTGTTTTTTTTCCTCTCCTCTTTCCATTTCGAGCCGAAGCGGAGGGGTCTCCTCACCCCGAAGAGAACCCCCCCGAAGGAACGGTTGAAAGAAAGAACGAGGATGGTGCAGCCAGCCATGTCATCCAGCCTTTGTTGGGCCAATTCACATAAGTAGCTAGTAGTAACAAGTGCCTTACTAGTAGTAACAAGAAGCTAGTAGTAACAAGTGCACATAAGTCGCCCATCAACGATTTGGACATATGTGGCGTGTGACTCACACGTGTGCTTCCCGCTCCCCCGTCCAGGCGCAGCAGTTTGCTTGCGCACTCCCCTGCTTTTGGGTGGTGTGTCAGATCCAATCCATGTGACCTTCATTTAAAAAAAGTCAGAAGAAACTGACAGATCTGACAGCAAACCCCTACAGAAGACTATATATACAGAATGGATAGAAACTCCGATAGAAAGAATTGACACCAAATGGCATACTCGAACACAAAGATGCCCTGGACATCTCTGGTGCTTGGATGTTGCGCCACGCGCTTGTATGACGCAGGCCTGCTGAAGGTGTTTCGGAAGATGTCCTACCTCAAAGAGCCTCTCAGACTTGAAGACCAGACCGTGAGAACTGTTTCGATTGCCCCCAGGCCGTGAGAACTAAAGCTCTGACGGATCAGAACTGAAGTTCTGCAGACTTTTGTAAACAGAATTAAGCCTGCCCCCCCCTCCCTACTTCACTAAGTAGGCGCCTACTCAACTGCTTAATCAAGCAAGGCAACTAGTTCGCTACTACCTACTGGACGCAGGATAGCTCACGCTTCCTTGAAGAAGCGCTCGCACTAATGATCTGGTTCCCACATTTTGAGGGAAACGCATTTGTTAGTAGCGTCCTTGCTCCGTTCGTAGCGATGCCAGGAACCCCGTTCGTTAGCGAACCTTGTTCCGTTCGTAGTACGGCCAGTTTCGCCCCGAACTCGTAGCGTCCGATCGCTCCGAAGCTCCCCGAACATCGTCGAACTCCCTCTCCGTCCCGCGTGGATGTCCTTCCACCGGTTGCTCCCGAACGACCGGAACGAACGGCCGGAAGAGGGCGGAAACGTGTGTGGTGTTCGGAGGTCCACATCGGGAGGTATGAGGTGACCAAAACTGGTGCGAGTCACAGGGGTTCTGGGACCAACGGATTGGGGTTTCCACCAACTTCCTAACCTGGTGCGAGTCACAGGGTGTTTGTGCCCAGCATGTGTGAAGCAAATGAATTCAGAGATTGACATAACATAATAACCTGTAGCGTAGCCCACTGCCTGAAACTTGACAGTTTCAATTTCTAGATGTCACCCTGTCATTTTTCCTCAGTTTTCCCATCAATGTTGAGCTTCAATCCGCTTGACGGTCGATTCTCCGCATGCAATGAGAACGAGGTTACGGAAGTTGGTGAACATGACCTCAACGTGCTTTAAAACGTTGATGTGGTCCTTCATCTTCTGCTTTGTCATAATGAGCCTTGGACGCAACATCCATCCCCTTCACCGGGCTCAAAATCGCCCGCGCCCTTTGTTTTCCTCTCCCGCCGTGGGCGATTTGTCGAAAACAAACACCTGCTCGGCCGGCTTTGAGAACGTTTTGAAAACGGGATGGTGTCGTTTCGACGGGCGCTGGGACACACATCTTAGGACCATTTGGGCAATGCTCTTGGTGGAGTTTGTACACCCGTCCCTTGGCAAGCACGCTGCGGGAGTGTCCGTTGGCTCTCATGAAAGCCACAAAGACTTGCCAGTAGGAGAATCCGTGCTTAAAGACTCTTGCAGTTCTTTCACCAAAGATGCAGCAAGTACAGGGGAACTCATTTGCGCAGCGAAACCCACGAAGATGAAGTTGCAGTTCTACATGTTTGCTGTGTTCGATTGTTTTTGGTTTGCGCAACTGCTCAGTAAGAGTGCAGCTTCTTTCACAAGAAGTAGGCAGATCCTGGTTGATTCCAAGTGTGCATGATTGGCCTATCATGAGGTCCTGAGGTCCTGGTTGTACAGTGGATCAAATTTGATACGTCGCACCGGTACGCGACATGCGATCCGAGGCTCATCTTAGAGCTGGAAGCTGGCGCCTTCGGCCGAACGCCCTTGTGAGGGTCCGTCCATGATTTCGGTTGATCTCCAAAGCGGGTGGTGCTTGCTTGGTTGGTTGGTCTTGCTACATATATATAATATGTTTATTAAATTAATTAATTAAAACTGTTTAAATTGGCTGATTATGTTGGACTCAACGGCCCCTTTTCAAAAGCCCTTGGTCGCAGAAAATCTGTCAAGATCTTTCAGGCCGAGTGGAATTGAACCGTAGACGATCTTATACCAGTTGGGGTCTTTACATTCTGAATGCATGTCTTATCAATTTTTCCGCAGTGGGGGGGTTTGGGGGCAGGACCAAGTGGCTTTCAAGCGCAACGCAGCTTCAACAGAATATAACAAAAGACCCGGCCTCGTATTGCTTGAAGAAAAGGAGTGAATCCCGCATCCAGACAGCTATATGGTACTAAGTCTCTACACCAGAAAGGCATGAGCTTCTCTCCTTGTGACAGCAGCGTGTGTACATTGGCTCAAGATGTCGACCGTCCGGCCTGAGAATCCGTTGGTTCGCGGATGACACGATGGCCCAGATGGCCCAGATGGCCGGCGGTCTACGCCGTGCTTTCGGCGTTCTTTCCGCGATGTCTCACCCAGGTGGAGATGTGCCATCCAGAGACTCGGCCGGTGACGGTCTTCGGTTTTGGGACACGTGGTAAGTGACGTGTACTCAGGTTCCCAAGGATCCAAGGACTCTTGAGGTGGAGAGTGGTTTCTAAATGCTTGCCAGCTGATGCGTGGTTTCGAGTTGGGCACCCCTTTACATAGCAAGGGCTCGCATGATGGACACCCGAGGAATGCAAGACCTGCCATTTGTTTGACCATGACCTCTCATGGCACTGCTTCTTGGTGAAATCAGGCAGGGAGAGGAGAGGGGCTGCATGCAGTGTGCACAGAGATAGCCACGGAAGAGAAGCTCTAAGGCTGGAGGCCATCGCAGTTTGCAGCAGGCCCATGGAGGATGACCTCTCTCGGGGTTGACGCATAGATTCGCCCAAACATTGCAATTGGAAGCGGATTTCGAGCGAGAACTTCAATCAGCATGGATTATGTTTAATTCAGGTATCTTCGACCGGATTAATAAACCACACCCCACATGGTAGGTCAACAAGGTCAAGAAGATATGAGATACCACTCATGAGGTCCACTCCCCCTGAATAATCTGCTCAGGGAGCGATCGTAGTCGCAGTCGTTGTCGGTAGTAGGTAGTAGGTAGTAGGAGTGGTAGTAGGTAGTAGGTAGTGGTAGTCGTCGTGTAGTAGTAGTAGTAGTAGTAGTAGTCGTCGTCGTCGTCGTGGTGGTGGTGGTGGTGGTGGTGGAGTAGAGTAGTAGTAGGAGTAGTAGTAGTAGTAGTAGTAGTAGTAGTAATAGTAGTCGGAGCAGCAGCAGCAGTAGCGGTAGTATTCACAAAAAGTTTTAACAAGCACAGAGAAAAGGCCAGGGACACAAGATCAAATTGATAGGGGGTAGTAGTGCAGATTCTTGTTGGGGGACCGGCCCTTGTGAGGGGTACCCTTTGTGAGCTTGTCAAATGATTGTTTTTAAAAGCAATTTATAGGCCCTGAGCCCTAGACATTCTTTAGGATTTCATCAACATAATGTAGTAGGTGGTAGGTCGGTAGGTCGGGTGGTGGTGGTGGTCGTCGTCGTAGTAGTAGTAGGAGGAGCAGCAGCAGCAATAGCTAGTAGCTAGTAGTAGCAGTAGTAGTAGTAGCAGCAGCAGTAGTAGTAGTAGTAGAAGTAGTAGAAGTAAGTAGCAGGAATACGAAACATTGACCTGGTTGTGGGCTCGGATTAACTGGGGGGATTTCTGGTAGAAAACTAGACCATAGGGGGGGAAACCAACACCAATACTACTTTTCGGCGGCTTTGTGGGCCCGGGTTAACTAGGGAGGATTTATTAATCCTCACTTTACATTAGTGTAGTGGCCTCCGAAGGGTTCAAAAGAAACTACACTGGTTTGCTCATAGGCAGCCTAGGCTGCCAGCTTGAGACCAAGAGATCGCCGTGGGCTTGAGACCAGCTAAGGCTTGGAATGCAATCCTGGTTATGATCTGTGGGTGGATGGCTGCTTTTTGCCTTGCCCCACTGGTTTCTCGCCTCAGGGGAACGCTTGGGTGGAGGAAAACTTGCAGAGAAACACCTCCATCCAATTCTCCCATGAACTGTTGCCTCCACACTTTGTTGTTTGAGCTGAGTGCAGCTTAAAGGATGTGATATGATATAGTCCCTATGGATGAGCCGCAGCTACTGCTGTTTCCGCCAAGGCCAGTACAGATACGGCTACACCTGCGAGAGATGCTACGACAATTGCGACGTTCCGCGGTAAACTGGGTCTGTGGGTGGAGGATTTCACTTATAAGGTTTATAAGAGCAAGCAAGACCTCCAACCTAGAAGGAATGCCTCCAACCCAATAGCAATGGCCTCCAGCCTAGAAGCGATGGCCTCCAACCTACTAGCGAGGGCCTAACAGCGATGGCCTCCAACCTAACAGTGATGGCCTCCAATCTACGAGCGATGGCCTCCAACCTATTGGCGATGGCCTCCAACCTAATTACTAGGGATGGCCTCCAGCCTACTTGCGATGGCACCTGGGTCAGCCTGCTGTTTAGAGGTCCTCTCTCCAGCTGTTTGTGCCACCCAGAGCACCCAAAGACTGCCTCCGGAATTGAAAGCAAACACATGTGACTGCGGGGTTGCCACTTCTTTGGGGACTCGAGGGTAGACTGGAGGAGTGCTAGCTTCGCGAAAAAGTTGGGGGCTCTGAAGAGCCTTTGTATGGTAAGTTTTCACAACTCGAATCAATGATTCAACGGAAACCTCCACCCTTGAGGCCTCAGTTTCGCTGTACCGGCATATTACAGTAGCTGTTGGCCATTGCTGTTGGGTATTAGAGTTCAGTGAGAGGATCTCAGATGCATCGCGAGGCATATATCGCCGAGGGGTACAGTTCCTGAATCATTGTGATGTTTTGCAGATCTGACCAATCCACAATCCACAGTTGCACCTGCCGCCTCCGGTCCGGACCGAGGTTTGCGTGGGAGGGCTAGCGCATGAGTGTCAGGTCTGTTCTTTCGGCTTTACCTTCGACTTCCGGGGGCTTTGCATGAGATCTTGCCCTCCAGGAAGACACGAGACGGATTTCAGCGCCGAGAACTGTCGGTTCGGAAAAAAGACATCCTTCGCACTTGGGCAAATACACCGGGTTCATCACCACAACCGTCCAAACCTCAAAGGAAGGCACACAGAAGTGAATCCAATCAGGATGAGACAACCAAGGGAACATAACTAACCATCGCACAGTCCGTTCAAATGAGTTTCATGTGTTTTTTTGTGTGTGCTTCTGTTGTTTGTGTGTGTTTGTGGGTTGCAGCAGCCAGCAGCACGACTGCAAGATTGTGCAGCCTGCAGAATCGTGCAACTTAGGACATGCCTCACTGGATGGATTGAGATGTGAAGACTGCGATGCTTATTGCAGAGAGTGTTTGAGCGGGTCACGAATTGGATGTTCATCCTGCTATTCTGGCTATACTCTCCGGGTGCTGGATACCAATACCAACACTGGGGAGTGCATGCAGGATTGCGCGAAAGGTTTCTTTCGAGATGCACCCAATGATTTGCGCTGCATCCAGTGTGGAAAGAATCTTGCACTCATTTGGATTCACTGCTATTTGCTATTATCTTCCCCATGTGTCGTGTTCCCAAAGAAGACCCTGGCGTTCTACACGGCCCCGCTCAGGTATTGCTTGGATTGCAACTCTCTCTACAACTGCTTTGAATGCCAAGTGGGCGCAACCCTTTTCCGTGGCATTTGCTACTTGGATCCCAGCGGCACGGTGGATCAGACGGTCGACTTGCAGACCTACCTGTCCTCGGGTGCTGGTGCCAGCTGGGATGTCAACGACGCGCCCAGCTGGACCCTGTTGACCTCGCAGGTGCGGCGACTCCAAGACGAAGCCGATGAAGCTTTTCAGTGGGACCCCAGCAATCCTAAGCCTCTCGGCATATAACCCCGTCGCTTCTAGGTTGAAGGCCATTGCTATTGGGTTGGAGGCCATTGCTATTGGGTTAGCGGCCTTTGCTATTGGGTTGGAGGCCATTGCTATTGGGTTGGAGGC